CATCATTGATGGCTGCTATGCGGTTACATCTTCTGTTATTCCTGGCCACTACCGTTGTTTTCTTCCAAAGGTGGTGTTTTCTATCCTTCAGGCCCAAGCAGACCAATTCATCTCTCTTCAGATTGGTTTGATGTGGCTTGGGAAACTCAGCTGCTGCTTTCCTAACCTGCTGTCATCCAGTTCCGCTTCCTGCGGCGCGGGGCTCACAGCACGGGGATGCTCAGTGACATATCTATGTGCTCTGTGACTGCACTGCAGTCCTGACTCCTGGGGGTCACCGCAGGGACTGCTCATGGCCCAGAGCTTGTGGGATCAGCTGGGACCACCAGCAGGCTCCAGGAGGGGCTGCAGATGGCACCACATGGGGCACAGACACGCTGCTGGGCAGTGGGGTGGAGGAACAAACTCAGGAACAGCACTTTAGAGAGGGGGTTTAGACCTACTCAGAGATTTTGAAAACAGTTTCCACTGAAAAATAAGCAGGGAGATTTCTTCAAGCACAAAATACTGCTTTTTTGTTTTCAAAGTGAAGCTTCTCATTTCTCATTTCTTCCTTTCAAATCACCTACATTTAAAAGAAGAAATAAAACGTTGAATAGGTTGAATTAAATGTTTTCGGTAAACCCAAATCTCTCCACCCAGTACTTTGTCTCACTTAAAAAAGAAAAGTTTCAGTTTGACCTGATTTTTCCTCCCTAATTTTTCAGCTCACACTGTTGGAAATAACAGAGTCTATGTAGGTTACATCATTCGCGAAGAATCTCTTCTCATCCGTCTCCAAATGAAAAACAACAAACATTCAAAAAATAATTGAAGTTTTATATATATCCCTTGGCCATTCAGGTGGTATGGCTGGCACGAGACAGCGGCACTTGAAACAGCTGTTGTGAATCTTAAGTGTAAACTTCCACCCTTTGGCAGGAAATCAGGAAATTCTGCATAGGAATATACCTGCTTTCCCTCGCAGCAGACAAAAGTTGCAACGTTTAATGCAAGAGAGGGGATGGGGGAGGAAGGCTTTTTCCCTGGGGTTACCCAGGCTCCGTCCTTCCCTTGGTGCTGAGGGATGGACAAGAGGACCATAATTTGCTCTTCCTCCTTCCCAGACAGGTACCTGGCTTGGAGACTAACAGAAGGAAGCACAACTATAGTCCCCCACACATGCACTTCTTCCCATCACACAACCTTATTTCTCAAGGCTGAGTATGGTAACACAGCATGCTTTTGAAGCAAAGCTCACATATGGTTTGTGTTATCCAACCCATCTCACCTGGGGCCAACTGCTCGCTCTGGGTCAAAGCTTTGATGGTGGAGGAACCCTCCTTGGGGAGACCAATCACTCAGCCATCTCCTGTAGCACAAGAGTGAGGGCCTGGCTGCAGCCTGTGCACCCGTAGGGGCACTGAGATGCTCCATAAGCCCAAGATGGACCATGGGCATCCATGGAGCCATTTGTAGCGCTGTAGTCCATGGTGATAGACTTGTGTAAGCTGGGTGCATGCTTCACCCAAACTTGACCTCTTCTGAGCTGCGTGCTTATGAGCTGAGGCAAAGATGACAAAGTCATCTGGACTCCCAGAGTTTTCCCTCTCAGACAGACAGACATTTCGGTGCACCATAGGCCCAGTTTCACAGTTGGTTCAGCTGTGGCATTACCAGAGCATGCCACAAGCTGATCCCTGCTGTGAGAGCACGACTAACCCAGTCCTATTTCTGCAGCAGCAGCTACAATATGCTGTTATTAAATTCAATTAAGGAGTGTATTTGTTTAAAATGTGCCCACCCAGAGCTCCACACACATTAACACCATCGATTGCTTCGAGCAATCATCTAAGTGTTACACGCCTTGCTATTGAGGTTATTTCCACAATGGTAATTAAATTCTCATTAACAGTTTTCAATTATAAAGTAAATGAAAGGTAATAGCCTACACAGAGAATTGTAGTTCATATCCAGGCAGCCTGAAGAATTTCTGAAAGGAGGAAATAAAGGCAAAAAAGCTGCTTCTCCACAGCATGGAGGGCAGCAGAGCACTGTTGAGTGGGCTGAAGCCCACTGGTGGCCTCCCACCCCATGGAGCATGACCCAGCCATAGGAGCACTATGACCCAGCCATAGGAGCACCATGACCCAGCCATAGGAACACTATAACCCAACCATAGGAACATCATGACCCAGCCATAGGTACACCATGACGCAGCCATTGGAACACTATAACCCAGCCATAGGAACACCATGACCCCGCCATAGGAGCACCAGCAGCAGGTGGCCTCGAGCATTGGCATGTCTGGCTCTTGGCACATGATGGATTTCCCTTATTTCTTCTCATTTCTTGAACATCTCCTTCCCTGAGCACCCATCTGCCCTTTGTGAAGGCACTCTGAAGGGAGCCTGGTGATGAATTCTTCTCATCGTTTCTGCTGCTTTTGTTGCTGTTGCTTTAATAAAGTGTCAGGAACAGATGTTCAAACACAAATTCTCAATACACACTATCCTCAACCAAAAAATCTCTCAGAAGGCTGCAACCCAGGTGAACGCGGCCATCTCCTCACTGTGCTGATACTTCACAGCCTGAGGAACTCATCTCATTGCTTTCCCCTAAATATTTCTCTGACCCAATGATACAAGTGCCAGAGGCCCTGTTGCTGACTGCTCGGCCCCTAGGTCCCACATGCCAGAGTCCAAACCCAGTGCACACTGTGGGACTGGGAGCAGATCCCCCCCAGCTCTTGGCCCCACAGGGCCCTTCTGCCAGCCCTTCTCCAACATCTATCACCTTCACCCCTACTGATTTCCCCAATGGCCAACAAATCCTATCATGCTGACAGTGATCCTCGGTGCCATGGGCCATGGCTGTATTTCCAGGGAAAAAAAAGGCACCTGTAAGCCCTTTCTTCCCCTGGAAATCAGCTGGGTTTCTCCTCCCAGAGGTACTTACACAGCAATCTACAGCCGCTCCCAGTCGCCCACCCCCAGCACTCCTCTGAACTCTCCCCAAATCTCTCCCACACGCATCAATCTGAAGGCAGAGCTGAGCTGGCAAAGCCCTCCAGCACCCACCAACCATATCCACCACCACGCTGCCATCCTGCGAGGTCCAGCTGCGGGCTGCTCCCATGCAGTCAGGATGGAGATGGGCTGCCCAGCAGCTGCACGTGCTGGCTGCAGGTAAGGCATCACCTGGAGGGCTGCCTGGCTTTCCATCAAGCAGCGTGAAGTGACCCCACTCAGAATCACTCATTTTTCTCTGAGCTTGCGAGGTTTGGAGATTTGTTTCAGATAAGCATCCTCAAGTTTGCATGCTTATCTGCACCATCTCCCAAACGGCTTTGATCTGCAGGGTTTGGCTGCAGCTCTCAAAGTTATCATGAGAAAGCTTGTTCTTGGGAGAGCCGTTCTGATTAACGAGAAAAAGCTTTCTGAGTGGCTCTGAGCATCCCAAGCCCTGCCTGGAATCAAGGAGCACAGCCATGTGCGCATGCAAGAAGGCAAGCGAGCATTTCCTTAATGGTGCTTGGTTGTCCTTTCAGCTGTAATTTGAGGTCAACCACTTTGTCTTCCTTCTTTTTGCCCCTCTCCATTCAATGCTGTCTCACCCGCTCCACCAGGAGGGCCAGCACACGCTGTGTGCAAACACGGATGAGCGCTTTGTGCTGATGCATGGCTCTACATCACCCAAATCTCTGCTGAAGTCTCATGAGGAGAATGGGCCGCATTGAGGAGCGGAGCACCCAGAGGTGGGGAGAAACATGCGGGGCAAGGAGGGCAAGGAGTGGTCTGGGGGCTGGTCGGGGTTAGGATGAGTCTTAAAAGTTATAATATTGAATCCTGTCGACTCCATGGAAACCAATAGCACCTCTCCAGAGCTCCAGCAAAGGAAACACAAGCCACGCGTAAGTACGTGTTAATTGAGTCATATGCTAATTTTCCAGTTTACCTTTGCCTTGGCCAAGGCTTTAGGAAATATTTAGTGGGCTGAAAAGTATCAAATTTAAGTCCTGCTCTTGAAAAACTCCAGCACGTGTTTCTCCACTCTCAGCCCATCGCCCCACATAAGATTCCTCCCCTTTGGGAGCAATGAGGGAGAAGAAAGAAGACAGTACTGAGGAAAAAGCAGAATTACAGAACTGGCAATAATGTTTATAGTGGGGAAACCATCCCAAACATACGGTGCGGCCCTCACATCAAAGGTTAACAGCCATCAAAAAAAAAACTACTCAGCAAGGGGAACAAAGCATGAACAGCAAAAATATATACATGTGTTTTAAATAATTTTTTTTTTAATTGTTGAGGCAGTAATACTTGGTTCATGGAACTGCAATATACAGAGAGGTGAAATAAATAGCTTATATATATATAATATATATAATATAGCTGGTTTTAAAATATTCCCTTATCATTGGTGTACTAGGTCATTTTGTAGTCACTTGAATGTATTTAGCAGCATTCTCCAGAACTGAGCGTAATGCAGGATCACGGAGCCGTGACACCTTATGTCGTCAGAAAGGTTACAGAAGATCGATGCGTCGAGAACTCCACGCAAACTCCATCACTGCGGCACACACCATCTTGTCTCGGTCCAGCTTGCAGCAGACAATAAATAGATTACTGCAAAACTGGCAAGTTTCAGGGCAGGGTCTCAGTAACTTTGGGAAAGAACTTTGGTTTTCTTTGGCTTTATTTATTTATTTTTAATAATTACTTTTTTTTTTTTTTTTTTTTTTTTTTTTTCCCTCTGGGGATATGCTTGAAAAGTTGTCCTTTCCAAAAAAAAGAGAAATAAGCACCTGTGTGTCATCAACAACAAGAAGTCAATTTAAATAGAGCAGTTCATTTCATTTTTCAAGTCACAATAAATCCCTAACAGCTTTTTCCCCAGCGTTTGCCATCTAGTCTTTTATTAATTTTTTTTATTTTTATTTTTTTTTTAAACACAATGTACAAAAATAGAGCTTCTTCCTTATTTTTAATGTAAAAATATTCCTCTGGTGCAGTTTTTTTTTTTGTTTTTTTGTTTTTTTTTGTGGTTTATTATTGTGACACTTGTTTCATCTACTTTTAACTGGGGTTGGTGGGTCGTATTCTCTTAGTCCTCTTGGTGACTGTTGTGTACTTGAAAGGTTTCTGTATCTCCACTTGCCCCTTTGGGTACCTCTTCATAAAATGTACATCTTGCTGGTTTTCCCGGGTCTTGGGCCCTTTCCGTGGCCTCCCTTTTTTGGTGAATCCAACATACCAGCCTGAATATTTTGCTGACATCAGCGCCGTGTAGTTGTTTTCTAGGACTTTCTCAATGAAGACACACTCCTTGCTGGTGCCATCAGGCTGGAAAAGGGGGGAAAAAAAAAAAAAAAAAAAAAAGCAATCGTTATCCAAATGCAAACTCAGTGACCATAACCCAATCTGGCATAAATAAAGTCATCTGAACCCTGGTTTTGGTTCAAACATCGCTAACAGGAGCAGTAACAAACCATCAGCTGAAACAGAAATGATTTAGAAAAAACAAAACATAGCCAACGTCAGTTCACCATCTTTTTGAACACTCCTATCCAAGGGCAGAGAGATTTTTCACAGACAGCAGTGTGTCCCATCCAGCTCCTTCATCTGCAAGCAACACAGGACACGCTGCTTTGCATTTTCCATTAGAAAGGAGGAAAACTGAACTCGTTCCAAGGAAACCTCATGCTTATCAGGAAAAAAACAGAACTTCACATAGGCCAAATGACACACTTTCTACTTCTATTGCTCACTTTTCATACATTTTCAATATTTTCAAAAATACCTGATGGTACTGGACACTCCTGCAGCATCCCAAGCATGGCAGTGAGCAGATGAACCATGCCTGGAGCTCCCAGGGCAAGACAGGTGGATGGCTGGGGCCACAGACATGTGCTGTGTTCGCAACCCCACTCGGACCCTCAGCACCCCATCTGTTTGCTGCTGCAGGCCGGGGTTAGGTGGAAGCCAGCCCTGGCAGTGAAGCAGCATGGAGAGCAGTCCCCATGCCAAGCAGTTCCTCCAGGATGGGTCAGCATCCCATGTGCCTCCCAAGCCAGTACAGCTTGGGGACTAAGTCCACTGTCAAAGGGGATGATATATAAGATGACACATATATATATACATATATATATATACACCTCTGCTCTTCTGCTCTTCCAGCATTTGGAAGAGGGTTTCATTTCTGGTGGAGAGAGGGGTATCAGCCTTCCCCTATCCAGCTCAGCCTAAGAACAATCAAAGCTCAGGGAACTGGCTGAGGAGAGCACAATGACTCTCCTCTTTGCAGAAGGAGCCAGGGTTAGATGTAGAACTGGAGGTCAGACCTCCTGTTCCCTGAGCGCCCTGCCTGTCCCACCAGGACTGCTGCTCAGACACAGCGCAGTGCAAGCCACCTCCCCACCACTGCACACCAACGTGACAGCACCCAGACTCAAAGCACTCACTGGTCTGAGTCTCCAGCAGGAAGGGTTTGGCTCAGCCAGAGCCAAGCCTGGGTGCTGAGTGAGACCATTCATCCCAAGGTGCTTTCAGGACTCCAAACTCTACAGCACCAGCAGCACTGTGGAGAGTTGCAGTGTCACCCAGTAGCACATTTCAGTCACTCAGCATAGAGAAAATTCTGTTCATCTATTATCACGTCTGAAAATACATTCTGTGCTTTAACTGTTGATTTAGTGGTGCTGCACTGAGAGCATTGAGCAGCACATAGTTTTGGGCATCAGAAGACAACAAGTAGCTATAGGCTCATCCAGCCCTGGATGCCATCTCAGCCCTGGGTGTTTCACAGGCTCTGGACAGTGACCAACACACTACAGTGTTTCTGACAGGACTTGATCTAACGCTTAGCACAGCCAAAGGAAAGATTTCCAGCATGGCATCAGTCCAATCCAGCTCCCCAGTGAAGTCACATTCAGGTTTTTGAGAATTGCAAGCCTATGCTGGCTATCAAACTCTCTCCCTCCTGCACAAACACAGCAGTATCAGCTCCTCTGGCCACGTCTCCATCACATCTGCAGGGACACCAAGGCAGCGCTGAGCAGCACAGCACCACAGCTGCAGGTCATTGGGGTGAGGAGCCCACTGGGCTGCAGTGGGGCTGGATGCTGGGGCTGTTCCCAACAAGCACTGCCACAGCCTGGGGTACACCAACCCGAAAGCCATTAAAGCACCATCCTGCTGAAGGGGCTTCGTTACCACATGTCAGCCTCATTAAGAACACACAACAGAGCAGGGCAGTACCAGGCAGAAGGTGTGAGGGAAGGAGCTGGATGGCTTCCTTCTGTGCAAACAGCTGACCTGGGCTGCACACCCCGACGGGGCTGAGCTCGGCCATACAACTGGCAAGCTTCACCCCACGCCAGGCACAAAGGTCCCAATTTTATCATCTACAATGCAAAGCCTGAAAACGCTTTAATGAATGGCAGAGGTGGGTGAAACGCAGGGTTTCAGGTCCTGGGGGGGTCATTCTCCGAGTCCTGGGTTTGATCAAAGCCACATGAGCGGGGAAGAGGAAATCAGTTGACACCACAGGGTTCCACCAGGTTTCAATGCGAAGCCATAAAACCAGCCCCGGGTTTCTCAGGGCTCAGCCCACGACAAACCTTTCACCAATGAATGGAGAACTTTTAAACAATACCATGGCTGGCTTTCAAATCCACCCAAGCCCAGGTGCTGATGAAGCGACCAAATCTGTACTGCAGGGCAGCAGGTAATTGGAGCGGCCGTTTCCCCGCGCTCGCAGAAAGGCCCTGGCGTTGAGCCCTGACCTTGTTGCTAGGAGAACCGCGGCGTTTTCATGCAATTTGGGAGGTTTCCGCTTGCACTGCAATGTCAGTTTCTCATGGAAAACGAAGACTGGAATTAAAAGAAAATGTGTGTGTAGGAGGGGGAAGTTATTCTATTCATAACAAAGAAGTATTTACTTATACCTTCAAATTTGCCAGCAGTGCCTAAGACAGAGACGGGAGGTGTAGGAATAACAAGGTGCAACTCGAGGCCAACCTCAGGGCTAATTTGAAGTAAACAAAGCGCATGAGATAAAATAATTTCGTTTTGGAAGAGGAAGAGCTAAATGATTTGATAACATGAAATTACAGCAACATTTACAAGTAGTTCGAGATAAATGAGGATAAGGAGCTCACTCTTCCCCAAACAGAGCATTCCTGTACGTGCTACGGCACGCCTGAGACAGACAAATGATTTTCAGATACTTACAAGACGATTTTACAGCATCTGTTATAATCCCCAATAGCACATAAATCACTCACACACGTTACCTACACCATGGAGAGCTGGACCCACAACTGGGGCAAGAAGCAATTTACAAGGGCTCTCAGTATTTCTTGTCACCTTGTTTTCATCAGGTGCCCATCACTTCACCACGTCCTGCTCAAACAGCAGCACAGCACTCACTCTCTGGGTCTGTCTCCCTACCCCCTCCGTTCTGCACTGCAGAGATGGATGGAAAAGGGAGATGGTTTTTGCTGAGTACCAGGGCCTTTCAGGTGAAGATACCAGGCAAAAAGCAGACTGCCTGCCCTTCTCTGGAGCCCCGACGACACATCTGCCACCAATATGGGGTTGCATCCACTCCTGCAATCTCATCAGGGAGATGCTGCCAGGTGCACCTCATGCACACTCAGCAGTCAGGATGCACCTCAGCAGTCAGCCTTCAAAACTCAGAACTTTCTGGTTTGAACTGCTTCCTTAAGATAAAAAGGAAGAGGGGCTGGGAGCCGAGTGGGAGCTGCTGAGCGCTGCGGGAGGGCTCATAGCCCTGCTGCCCTGGCAGCCCCAAGGAGCACAGCTGGCATGAGGGATGCACACAGGGAAAGCGCAGGGAGAGGAAGCCCATTTGCAAAGCTCTGGCTGGGACCCTGCCCTGGGAGGACACGGACCTCAGCAGCACCAGGGATGCTGCTGTTCTACAACCCATGGGCACATGATAGGGGCTGAGGAAAGCAGATGCAGGCTGAGCTGGTCCAGCACATCCTGGGAGTGTCAGCTTTTGGTGGCACAAATAAAAACTTCACCTTCACAAGGAGCACATCACCAAACATCTCCCAGCCAACAGCAGTGCATGCTCAGCAGCAGGAGCTCAGCGCTCTGTCCCATCCACCTCTGCAGCTGGAGGGAGCTGAGGCTGCAGGCAATTAAGCAAGTAAATTAAGTTTTAAAGAGAAAAGGCCAATAGTGCATAACAGCTTATGATGTTTTCCTTCTTCTGGCTCTGAAAGCAGCCCTTCCCTGCTCTCAGCCAGCAGGTCTGCCTGCTGTCCACTGCCTCCAGGAGCTGGCCACGACCATGGAGTGCAGCAGGAAGGGCTGTGGGACAGAATCTCAGTCTGGCACCAACACCCACAGTCAGCGCCGGAAAGAGAAGAGAAATGGCTTTCCTGAGACCTCAGTTGTTGCCAGAGAAACCATCCAGAGCTTTTCTTTTTTGTTTTAAATTCATCCCTAATAGCTGTTAGATACGACAGCTGTTAGCCAGCCTCGTGATAAACCTATAAAATACCCAACCTGAAATCCACCTTCTGCAGACAGCTCTCAAGCATCATCCAGGCCTGCAAAGAAGTGAGCAGAAGGGCAGCAAGGCAGGCAGGGCAGCAGAGGCTTCAGCAGAGCATGGCGGTGACTGACTGCTGCGAGCAGCTTGGGATATATGGGGGCATCGCCAGCACCGAAGCAGAAAGCTGCAGCAACTATAATCCCTGTACCACACAGAGATTGAGCAGCAGCAGTCACCCAGAGCCAGGAAGGGACATCTCTGCCATGGAACTGCTCACGAAGCCTGGACTTGCAGCCCACGGGCAGCGGAAGGCAGCAGAGCTCAGGGAGGTGCCTTCAAACCAGGGTCTCTCCATGTACCACAAACATACTGAGGAGCACTGGATTGTTTGTGCAGAGCATTTGGCGACGGTCTCTCCAGTATTAAACACGAAACGCCGAACTGACACTAAAGCAGAATTAAGTGCCAAAGCATTTGCTGCTTCTGCAATTACACTCCGGCACGCTTTGGTGCTCCTCCCCGCTTTCCTTTTTATGACCCAACTTGGCCTTATTGTAGTTTTGCTTTCTTGTTTTAAGTTCTCCAAATGGAAAGGATCAAAGGGCCCTTTGTTGTTGTGGCACCGCTGCCACTAACAGCTTGCTGCTGGGGGGACCTCGTGGCAGCTCTGCCACCAGCCCCAGCCAAAGCACTAGCAGGTGCACAGCCGCCTCCTCCTCCTCCCCATTAGCCCACAGCACTAAGCCACCTGAGCAGCTTTTTATGGGAAAGGGAGGCCGGCGCAGGTTTTCTCATTTATGCTTCACAAATCTTG